CTAAGGCTAAGAACCAAGGTTTTTCCCTATTGAAAGGGTTTCCTTGTATATCTTGTGTTCATTGCATTTGTTTCTCAGCGGAGATTGTATTGTGAAGAAGTTGATAATGAAATTAACCAATTCACCCCCCTCTTGGTCTAACAGATTCTTTGCACCATCCTTGTAAGTTCATTTATTTTTTCTTTTGAGGTTTCGTCATAGTGCCTAAAAATCAAATTTATTTGTCTTAGAGCTTGATAAGAATGACTTTTTTTTTTTTTCTTCTTTTAAAACCTCGTCCAGAACTTTTGTAGAGAAAATTAATGAGACAAAGTGTTGGAGCAGGGTTTGTGGGATGAAAAAATAATTAAAATTTGTGAAATGTTTAGAAATAGGAAAAAAAAAAAAAAAAAAAAACTTACACTTTTATGATAGTACCAAATCATCCTTATTATTTTTTATCAAATGGTGCTACCATGGAAATCAATTGTAAAATTAACACCCACAATTCATTTGCATCCAACTAAATGAATATATGTTAATTCAAGAATATAAATGATATATTTTGATGTGTTTGTTATCCCTTCATTGGACAATCCAAAATTCTGAGTTTGGACACTGCTTCAGTGATGGAGCTCGGTAGTCGTCGGCAGCCAAAGCAATGGTAAAGAGTCCTAAATTGTAACGGCCCCGAATTTTCTAAATAAAATTCCTTAATTTATTCAAATCCAAATACTTCAATATACACCCAGGATCTCAAAAAGAAATGCACTTTATTGATACACAATCAATTTCCTCAAATTAAAAAAAAAAAAAAAAAAAAAAAATCTCTAAATAAAATAATTTAATCCTTAACACCAACTCTTCCCCCATCTCACCCTCTTCCAGTTTTAGGTACCGAGGATGAGCTTGGATTGCTAATTTGACGAGCACTCGTAGCTCTTGGACGAGTGTTCTAAGCCTTCACTTAGCTTTGACACTCCAACTTCAAATAGTCATAACTCTTTCATTTTAACTCCGAATTGGTCCGTTCTTGAGTCTAAACTAACCGCGTCACAATAAGCTTTCCAATGGTACCAATTACAGTTTCATATTTCACTTGTACCTCGAGATATTCAAGTTTTAGTAAGGGAGTGTCAGGATTTGGTTCGAACCGGGATAGAGTTCTTTTGGAGTTTCTCTTCCTTTGACTTCGGGACTTGATATCTTTATCATCCAGACTACGAATCAAGTGATTCTTGAGTCTATCTTTGTTAATTTTTCGTTGTCTATCCAATGGTGTGCACTGTGGCACCCATTTCAGTTTAGAATGACCATTTTACCCTTGGTCCATTCCTTGGAGGGTTTTGAAACCCTAACTTCGGTCTTACTTCCGCTGAGTCGTGGGACTCCTCAGAAGGCTACTCTCGTGTCTTAGGGATGACGTACATCTCTACAGACTTTTTTATGTTTTGCTTTCGCATTTTGAATCCGTTTCGGGTCATCACAGAACACACTGGGTTTATAAAATTCAGGGTCGTCACATAAATGATTTTAGAATTTGGATTGATTGGATCACAATTTAAAAACCCTTCAATTCAAAAATTAAGATTTAAATGAGTTTCAATTATAGCCCCTATTCAATTACATCTATAAGGTTTTAGTTATGGCCCATGTTTTGAGCATAAGCTTAGCCTTTGTTTCTATAACTTCTCTCCCTTTTTCATCTTTGCCTCCATTAAAGAAACCCGGCCATTAAAGCCTTAAATTTTGGAATTTTTTTTTTTTTTGTTACAAAATGGTTTTGGAAACAGTTTTTCTCGTTCCGATTTGAAGTGGATTTGGTCTGAATTTTTTGGAGAATTTTTTTGGGTGAAAAAGGAAAAATTAGGTCTGAATTCCATATATAATTTGGTTTACAGATGCATAAGGGATGAATTCTTGTTGAGTTGAAACGGATTTATGGTTTTGCTGGTTCTGGTGGTTGCTTTGGTTGGAACAGAAATGAGTTTCCTATGAAGAAAGAAAAACATGAGGATCGGAGGACAATTTGCTCCAAATATTAAAAATAGAAGGATTTATATACACTTAGGCCGGTTTGGTAACTATTTATGTGTACAATTTATTGTTTACATAAAGAAATTTTGAAGAAAAACACGTTTGTTAATATTGTTTATGTTTATCGATTGTATAAATTCACTTATATAATTACTATTCACACGTACCAATTTTATAAACGTCTAAATGACGTTTATGTTTATGTGTTTATGTTTATAATTTATTTTTTATATGAAAAAAGAATAGAGCTAATAAGCAAAACAAACATTATTCTTTTAATAGGTTTTCATAATGGGTATCTTAAAATATTACTTAAGCAATGAGTATCTTTCGGAAAAAGCAAAAAGAAAATTGATTAGAGTAGCAACTTGTTACCTAAAGCCATTATAAGTAAGAAATAATTAGACACTATGAATTTGTGCAGCGGAAGATATAGTGGAAAATTTAAGTTTGTATATAGAAAAGATAAAATTTGTGTCTTTCTATTTTAACTAGCGTTACTTAAATTAGCAATGAAGTAATTAATCACATGCAAGATCAAAACAAAGAAAGCAAACATAGTTTGAGATATGACACTAGAATTATTAGTGAGAAAACCCCAATTGGTATAATAGACCAATTGTTGTGGGAAAAACTTCGTGGACTGTGCAGTCCAGAGCAAAACGATTTACTATGTTTGAAACAAAATACAATGGACTTTGACTTAAGCTCACACCCTATTGTTCTACCAAAAATCAATTGCTGACAATCCTCTAGTTCTACGACGTCCCGTCCAATAGCTCTTGACTCCATACTCTTAATCTCTATAAAAGAATTGTTGGTAGATCAAACAACACTTCTCGAATGCTTTGACCCTTCCAAAGTGTAATCGCTTTACCCATTTTCTTCAAGATCTAACTTTGATGTAGAAGAAATAGATCTGTTTTTCTCTGATCGTTGTCAATGCAATATTCAATAAACTTTGAACGTAATCAGGAATTGAATAAGACCCTAAAATCACTTTTGTATTTATGTGTGTGTTCAAAAAATAAAAACAGAAAAAATATATTTAATTTTCTGCAAAATATCTCTTAAATAGATTTTTAAAGAATCAGAAGTTGTAATCCAAAATCCATATCAACCTAGATGTAAAACAAGGTTTATATAGACTTTCAAAAACCTAGATATGCATAGGAAAGAAATAAATTTTGTGCATGGGTCTTTTGGAAAGAAATCCGTACCAAATAAAAGTTTAGACAAAATAAGAAACAAGTTACCAAATTGCAGAAGCCTTCTGAACCAATAGCCACTTCTGGAACTGGTTCAAAGTGTCCAGAAGTAAATAAGATTTGAAGCTATGGTTCTTGAAATGGTAGAAAGAAGTTGGTACCGGTTCCCAAATGGCATATTCGAATGGGAAGGACAAAAAACACTTGGGAAAAATCATGTTTTGGAAAATTTGAAAAACATACCATGTATGTAAAGTGTCATAACTTTTAACTCAACTTCCTAAAGTGTTGTTCATACATATTCCGTATGTATTAGTTTATCAAACACGAACAACTTTTCAATTCCGCAACCGATCTCAATTTTGAATTTGAAACTTAAAAATATAACTCGATCGAACTTGTTTTGACAACGAAATTAACCAATTACAAAATATATATCTCACAGACACTTCATAGATGCTTTTATTATTTATTTAAAACTGGTGTTAAATTTTTTAAAAATAGTTTAAGGTAAACAAACATATTTTTCTGTTTATTATTTTAAAAACAAGATAAACATTTTTACGTTATCAAACAATGTATCTGTTTATCGATAAACAAAAGTTATACATAAACACTCATTAGGTATAAGCTTAAATGATAAACAATAAACAAAAATGGTTACCAAACAGAAGTGTTTTTTTTTTTTTTTACACTTTTTTTTATATACATAAAGAGTTTTTTTTTTTTTTTCAACCTTATTCATAATGAATATGAATATATTTAAATTTTAAATAATAATAATAATAACAATAACTTTAAAAGTGAGTTATCATATTTAAGCAATGGATTGAAAAAAAGTATAAATTATTCATTTGACTTTTCATTAAAAAAATAAAAAAAAAAAAAAAAAAAATCACTCTCTTAATCTAATAATAAGATATAAAGGGCTCTCCACCCTTGTAACTACTGAGTTCTCTCGTAATCATTACTTAGTGGTTGCAAATTTTGATACGATTTGCCAACATGACTCTAACACGACACAAGTTAAACGGGTTTGAGTTGACCTTAAACGGGTTCGAGTCTTAAACAAGTCGACACGATTAACCCATTTAATTAATCGTGTCATGTTTGGATTGAGGTGGTTTTGCCCGTTTAGATCCGTTTAACTATACGTGTCATAAATAAATTTATATTTAAGTTTCAAAATAACTATCTAAATTTGTGTCAGATAAACTATTTAGTAATTTGGTTAAATTGAAACTTATAATTTTTTGTATTATTTGTTTGATGGAGTATTATTAATAATTTAAGTAATATAATTTTTTATTTTAATAAATACGTTATTGAACGGTTTATACCTATAACCTGTTTAATAAATAACTCAAGTTAATGTTAAGAATTTCTGATAATAATATTAAACAGGTCGTGTTCATATTGATTTATTTAGTAAAATACACTTGGATTCACAAGACACAATTATCACCCGTGTATGCGAATTGTTACCCTTATTATTATTGAATGGTAATATTTATTGCTTACCCAAAAAAATTATATATAATAATATTTACTCCGTAAATAATTCAGCATCGATGCAACCGGGTTGGAGATTCTATGCCACCTCACGTGTCCTGTCGGGTTAAGGAGAAATTCATCGATTTGTTTATACCAAATTACCAATAATTACGAAGTTAAAACAGCGAAGGGCAAAGCGGTAATCACGGATGCACCAAATTTGATAAACCGATCACGTCCGGATGCAACCGGGTATGTAGCTGATATAAAACGCTACTCTTGTCCGGGGGAATAGAACCCATCTCTCTATATCTTGCTACCCTTTGGTCCCCTCTCTCTAAAGCCTAGTCGATTGTTTATCTCTTAAATCTCCCGTAGAAGAGAGAGTTGAATAAAGCAAAAGACGAAGAAGAAAAAGATATGGCCGATCAGCTTACAGATGACCAGATCTCCGAGTTTAAGGAGGCCTTCAGCTTGTTCGACAAGGATGGAGATGGTTCGAACCTCCTTCAAATCTCCCTTTTTCCTTTCTATTATTTTCGTATGCATTTATGTGTACAACTATATGTGTATATATTATTTGTATATATCTTCAACCAGATCTAGCTATCTGTTTAACTTATTGCTTGAATTGGACTTCTGGTACTCTTCATTGATCTAGATAATGGAGTCTTTGTATTTTATGCTATACTTATCTGTACAAATTATTGTTTGTACTTGCTTATTAGAAATTCTATAAGATACGTTTTTTTTAAATAACAGTAGGTTAGCTATATCGTGATAGTTTAAAATCAAACATTTGGTAAGGTAGTGAAAAAGAGGTTGAAGTAAATCTCACATTTATCATTGTTTGGGGCCAGCAAGAAATGAAATGAAATGAAATGGAATGGAATTATTATTTTTTTAGTTTGGATATGATAGAAAAAAAGAGTTTTGAAAAATTAAGGTTCCCCCGCAACTGGCGCATCAAATTTCTTAAATTTCAAGGTACATCAAAATTTTAACGAATCGAATTTCAGAAAAGGCTCATGCTTTGCTATTTATTATTTTGGTTCAAAATTTCTTATTATATTTTTGTTAATGGCTGGCCCTCTTGAGTAATGAAAACTAATTTTAGTAGCTCGTCTATAGGTCTTTATCATCTAAGTCTACTCCCTCTTTTTTTTCTCAATAATGGTTGCCACTCTTTATTTTTTTCTGACACTACTTTCATGAGTAACCCTATCTTTTTAAGTCATTCGTAACATTCTTATTTCCACTACGTGTTATGATTCTCATTTCCACTACATAGATTTTTTGTTATATAGGTTTGCCTACTGACAGTTATATATTATTGATCCTTTTGAACAATGATTGATGTGTGATCATTATATTATCAAGATCCGAATCTTTATTACATTTGTATTCCATATACTCGGATTTTGTTCTACCCATTTGATTTCAAGGCATTTCTCCACATTTCTAATTTTGTTGTCAAGTTTTCTTTAGAAGTATTGAATGACACTACGTCATCAACAAAACATAATACACTTCGGCTGAATACATTTCTCCACATTTCTAATTTTGTTGCCAAGCTTTAGCTTGTGGGCCATGTTGGTTTTCGGCTGAAAACATTCGTTTAGGGCTTCGAAATCGCATTTTATTGTGTTGTAAGAGGCCTGCAGATTATTTTGGGATTTTTGTTCGAGGCCTTAACGAAGTGAAAATGCTCTGAGATTTTATATTTAGTAGTTTTATTTGATTATGTATCTTTCTCTATTTTTTCAAAAATTTTAAAGAGAATTGATTTTTTTAGACTTATTTCTAGGATTAGTTTCCTTGTGTTTTTAGTTTTCTTCTAGTGTTAGGTTTTCTTTTATTATAAATACATGTACTGCCAAGTGCAGAATTAATTTTGTATTCATTCAATTATCAAATAATATATCAGATTTATCTGAATTATCTTTTCGTTTTGTGGATTCAAAACACCCACCTTGTGGATTCAAGGTAACCTGTTTCCCGTGAACAAATTTATCACTTCCGCTTACGTCATAGCTTCTTCGACGAGGAATTTAGAGACTTGCCTGACGTAGTTCGTCTTCCTTCTTTGGATTGAAGTGTGTGCCCATGCTTTTGACCTAACTGCTCTTTCTCTCATCAAAGACGTTTACGTGTCTTAACCTTATGCCTCTTGAGACTTGCCCTTTCTTTCCTATGTTGGACTTGCGCATCTCGTTTAAAGGTTAGGGTTGAGATATTCCGAAAATTGAGGATGATGAATGTTCCCAAAGGAGAGAGGGGATAGGACCGTTATGAGAATTGAGGATGATGAATGTTCCCAGAGGATGATGAATGTTCCCAATGGGATTTTCATGGTTAAGAAGAAGATAAAAGGAAATATTTAGGCTTTCATAGGCTGCTTCATTTGGAGTTTATTAGAGGTGAGAAACGACAAAAAAATTTGACTGGTGTGAAGAATTCTTTGGGGAAAGCCACTGTTTAAAAGCTTTGAGCCTTAATTTTCAATTTATTTTAATTATTTTTTTGGTCATTTCTTTTCCGTTTCTGTACAATTTTACTTTTGATTATTTTCCCAAAAAATATGTATGAACAATTGGTAAAAAAGGATTGGTCTAATACAAATTAAATTTATTTTAGTTTTTGAAATAATAAGGGTAATTTGGGCAAGTACAAAGTAATTTTCTTGCTATCCAAACCATAAATAAGTATTTTCTCACAACTTTATTGATAAATTTTCATCCTAACTAAATTGATTTTCTCACAACTTTTTTATTTTTACTTTAAAAAAAAAGGACAAACTGATTTTCCTTTCACTCACTTCATTTTATTTTATTTCCCCTTTCCACTATTGGTTTCCATCTAACTATGGAACCCTAGTAGAAAGAAGCATTGGAATGTGATCATTTTTTCCCCCATACAAACAGAAGGTTTTGTGATTTGTAAGAGTTGAAGGTTTTTATGGAAAGTGGATTTTTATATGGAGAATTTCTTCTTTGTTGCACTTAACATCTTCCCCATGGTTCTTAATGGAGCTTTGTAGAGAGAAGCTCCCAGGGAAGCCATCCAGCTTAACTTATTTAACAAGGCATGCAGGAATAGCATTATATAAGGTTGTACGCTATAATTGGTAATTAGGGAGTCAAGTTCAGGTCTCATGGTTCCTGCAATCTTATGGGGATTAATTTGTTAGATCAATTTAATATTCTGGCTCGTAAAATTATAGGATCATAGCATCCAGATATGAGTTTTAGCGCTTCTATGCGCACATTAGCCAGTTTGGTCTCCTATTGGTAATTATCATATGACATTTATTTTCCTACATATAAATTCTGTTGATTTTTTAGGCTGTAAGCATTGCTAATGATACTAAAATTAGTTTCATTTGTTCTCAAGTTTGTTTCTTACTGTCATGGTAACAGTAATGTTTTGATTGTATTTTAAGTATCCTTTGTGTTCAAATCCTGTATATATAATATGTGGACTCCAATAGCTTAATAGCTGCAAAAATTTGACATGTGTAGTTTTTAGAGAGCTATGTTACAGAAGTCTAGTATATTGATAAATCCTCAAACCCAAGGATATGAGTTTACAACTGAATATTCTTATTTTCGAACAGGGTAAAGTTTGCAACAAACCCCCTTGAACTACAATTTTAGCACTTATCCCTTACCTTCAATCACATGAGATATATAATTGGTCTTACGATGAAAATGCCCTTTTCATGACAAAATATCCTTGAAAATTATATATCAAAAGAGAACAACACTTGTTGCACAAAAACAATCTCTCTCTCTTGAGAATTACATAGAGAGAACAAGAAATGAACAATGTAGGGTAGACAAATCTGGAGAGATATTTTCTTACAAACCCCTTTACGAAAAAGAACAAAAAAAATATGAGAGAAGATTCAAAAAGAGTTTGCAAAGTCAAAGGGTAATCTATACTTTGTTGCAGTATGATTTGAACTTGGGTGATTGAATCATTGTTGGTATTCAGAGAGGATGTTGGAAAGTCAATTTATTCCATATCTATATTTTGTTATGTTCTGGCTGTCCAATATGTCACCTGTTATGGCTTATTTATTTCTGTATACTGTTGGGTGAACCTCCTGGTTTGCAACAGGGTAATGGAACCTTTGAAAGAAAATGGGGACGATGTTTCTGCTTGATTAAATTATTTTTCAGAACAACTAATACTTGATTAATTGATTTTTGAAACAAATATGCAATATGAACATTGATGTTTGAGTATTAATTAATATCCAAAAGCTTGTGTGATTGGGACGTTGTTATAGTGAATTGTTCTTCAAAATATATGACCAGGTTGTATCACTACCAAGGAGCTTGGGACTGTCATGAGATCACTGGGGCAGAACCCGACTGAGGCTGAGCTGCAGGACATGATAAATGAAGTGGATGCTGACGGTAATGGAACGATCGACTTTCCAGAGTTCCTAAACCTCATGGCCAGGAAGATGAAGGATACCGACTCCGAGGAGGAGCTGAAAGAAGCATTCCGAGTTTTTGACAAGGATCAGAATGGGTTCATCTCGGCTGCCGAGCTGCGCCACGTGATGACAAACCTGGGGGAGAAGCTTACTGATGAAGAAGTTGATGAGATGATTCGGGAGGCTGATGTTGATGGCGATGGGCAAATCAACTATGAGGAGTTTGTTAAGGTGATGATGGCTAAGTGATGATCCCATTCAGATCAAAGTAAAAAATGAAAATAATTATTAGAAGAGACTGAAGAAACCTAAGAAACTGGATGGACAGGGTTAACTAGTATAATTTTCTCTTTTCACCAATTTATGCGTTGAAATCAAACCTTCAAAACGATGTAATGGCTTGTTCTGTTGGTGGTAGAATTCTTTCTTTCTTGTGACATTTCTTGTGATTCTTGGATTTCCTTTTTGTTTCTTTTGAATTTGATCTAGAGGTGAAAGTTTAATATTCTCTGATGGATGAAATCTGGTTTCTTGCGAGTCTGAACTAGTTGAAAATTTTTAATATTCTATGTTGGAACTTGAATGGATGACACATTAGATATTGCGTTAATTAGTCTCATCTTTTCGGGGACCACCTTATACTATATTGCTAGTAGAATTGTCTATTACCTCGTGGAGATAATGTTGCGCTGTCGTGTTAGAGATGTCATTTTGTTTTTGTTTATGGTAAGTTATGTGGGTGGGCTAGCCAACCGTCCCTTAAAAAGTTGTGATGCAGCCATAGTTTATGCCTCGGGATAGAATTGATGAAACCACCGTTTGACGTTCATGCAGAACCTTTCAGAGAAAAATCTGAGCTTCGTCTGGTGCTCATGATTTCTCGATTTGTGTTAACGGCGGCCCATGATTTCTCCAATTGGTAATTGTTGTTAATGCTCTCATACCTAGTGTTAGAAGGGGCCATTTGTCCCGCATTGGATCTGAATAAAGTGATTGGGTATAAATAAGTGGATATACAACACTACCTAATAACTTGAATTTTTGAATAAATGGACAAATGTCCACCAGTTACAGTTAGTATCACACTTAGACCCAATTCTTAAGTCACGCCAAACGCCCGCTAGAAGGCGTCCGGGTGAGCCACCCTGGGTAGGCAGGGTGGTCCAACCACAACGAGGGCGTTGCGAGTTCGGGTAGGAGAGAATGTTACAATGGGCCATTTTTTCACTTGAAGGTTTTTTTTATTTTTTTTACTGCTTCACCCTTTTTCTTTCGCTCGCTAATTTACTTGCGTAATCAAGCGGCTGAATTGAAAAGCCGGGCAAAACACTTGGAACTCTGGCTTTTCCCGAGAGATCAATCAAATATGTAAAGTTAAAAAGTAATTATGCAAATCCATACGCCGGAATGAAAAAACTGTTCAAAAGGAATGGTGATCGAGAGAAAAGATCCAATAATGAATCCATCGAGTTCCCACCTGATATACAACTCATACAATAGCTGACACCCCAATTTAACCGTCACTCTTTTATGTCATTAATCCTTCAGATAAACAACAAAAGTTAGCCACAAATTCTACAAAAGCCCATCTCTCAATCATTTCCCCTAAAATCTTATAATCTCTTCAAACTTTTCTTTCTTGCATCCATTTTCTTTTTCTCTGCCTGGACTTTTGTCAACCCAACTTCCTTCTTCTGTGTCCATAATATTACTGTTGACCCACTACCTCCCGTCTCAGTAGTTGAACTCAACACAGCTGGAAGAACCAGCCCACTTCCACCTTTGGAAACTCCTGTTGTACAACAGGCCAACGGGGATGACAATGGCAGCACAGCACCGGATACTGCATTTTTCTGATCAGTACTAAGAACTGAGGTGTTTGTCTGGTCGACGTTTAAGGCAGTTGACTCAGAAATAGCTCCTGTTTTAAACTTTGGCTTTGGTTTCAGAGCATGAATTCCAGTGTAAAGCCTGTTTTTTTCAAAAACAAAATGAATAAATAATCATACAAACTTCTACTTGAGTAAGATTCTCGACATCATTAATCGAATAACTCATGTAATCCAAAGTCTCAAAAGGAGGTCAGGGGTTCAAGCCTCAGTAGAGGCATGGGGGTGTAAGCACCAACTAAGAAGAAAAAAAAAAAAAAAAATTCATACAAACAGGCATTATAATTATGAATCCCACCTATATAACTGAAATATGTAATCTGAACAAATTAAATTTCTTTCAAACTCAAAAAGAAATTCCACATGAGGTAACTGCTCCCTCCTAACTTCAAGATTGCATAAAAGCTATATTTAGAAACTACTAGAGCTGTAAAGAGATAGTTCCGAAAGTACTTCTTTCAGTTTAGTCCAAATCACACGCTGTGAATTCAAGATGTCAGTCAATATCATGCTGAGTTTAATAAGGAGGTTTCTAAGGTTGGGATGTACAATGTTCCAAGATATCCACCCACAGGCACTAAATAAAGCAAATACTGTAAAGCTGCACTCTAGCCATGCCTAGTCATTTTATGCCAGATAGGAAGCAAGGAAACATTAACAAAATTCAGCCACTATGTAGCAATGAATTTAAACAAAACCCAAAAGCGTGGATGTTTGCCTCCACCTACTTGTGTTCTCTGAGTAGGTACTAATATAAGGTTCCACCACAAGTGGCTGTTTCCCAATAACCGGGTTGGGGTCTTGTCTCAATATAACCAAAATGGGATGTTCAAATGGAAATATCATGTTCTCAGCAAAGCTTCGAGACTCAAGCAGATAACAGCAGGAATGTGACTCACCTGGCATGCCTGGCATACTCCTCATAATTTTCAAGCAACATCTTGCCAGCCTGCTCATTCAGAGCTGATTCCGGGAATGGCTCAATCAGTAAACACCTTACTACCTGAAATCACAAAACCCCAGGTCAGTGAAAAGATAACATCACAGAGCCAACACCTTATTAGCTGAACTCACAGAACCTAAAGTCAATGAAAAGATAACAGTGCAAACAACTTACTACCTCAAATTGCGGAACTTGAATGAAAAGATAACTGGATCGCAATGCAAACCAAGTGGTGAATGCAATACAGGTATTTGGGTTCAGAAAACTACCACTATCCCCATTAAAGGAGAAGAAAAAGAGAGAGAAGAGTAGAAACACCAGGCGTGGAACTTACAATCAGAACATGCCGCAAGCCAAGACTCGGGTTCCAATCTTTTTTCAATGTGTTGACACATATCTCACCATTGGTTGCAATATTTGGGTGGAAAATCTTAGTCACGAAGTAACCTATGTCCATAAAGATCAAAATATTCAAAAAAAAAAAAAAAAAAAAAAGCCAACCTAGAAGTAATACATATGTACCGCAAATAACAAGATTTGAAAATAAAATTTTCAAGAAAAATAAAGCAGCATGAGCCATAGTTCGCTGTATCGTCCGATACGCGACCCTTTTTCAAGTCCAATACACGACCCGTATCGGCCAGTTTACACTGACTTTGTCCGAGTCCGTTACACCGCGACCGATACTGCGAACCATGGCCTGAGCATCACACATTTCATGGAGCAAACCACTCCATAAAGTGCATGCACCAGGATCAATCCAACAATCTCATTTCCATGACCATGAAAAACTCTTCTCAAATGCAAAACTTTAAAAATTATGTTACACCATTTAATAGAACTCTATCTAACAATATCCACCAGAGAGGAAGGGTAAGTTAACGATCTCACACCTTAGAAAGGAAAAATAAATGAATAAGCAAGAAAGATCGTAGCAGACCATTAATTAACCTATTTAGTACCCAATGACCACCATTAATAAAACTCTACCCAACAATATCCACCACAGAGTAAGGGGTAGTTAACGAGCTCACGCCTTACAAAGAAAAAAAATAAAGGAATAAGCAAGAAAGATCGTACCAGATCATTAATTTATTTATTTAATATCCAATGATCAGGCAAACAATAACGTCAACCGTGTTTTGAGTAGCAAGTGTGTAAGTGTGAAGTATAGAGGTGTAAATAAAAGATGGGTGAAAGAAAGAGATAGATTACCTGTTCAGCATAGAAAAAAATATCTGAAAGTGCGCCTTTCAAAACTAAAAAAAATTGGAAACTAGAAGCACAGGCAATAGTCAGAGCCTTCGTGAAAATAGAATGATTCTATACTATGTAAACCGGCAAACCTCTTGGAGGGGACTGTGGAAAGTCACGAGACAATATCAACTTCATGCGGAAAACACCGTTCGCATACGGAGTCCCAGCTGCAAGGTCAGAGATCTTTCATTATGAAACTTCAAACGACCTTAAAGGATATAAGAAATTAAAACAGAAAAGAACATGCCCGGGCCTTCAATGTCAGCATATATGGTTGAAAAATCATCATCATTGACTCCCACTTTAATGCCCTCAGGAGGGGTTTCATCAAGATTCTTCAACTCCTTCGCAAGTTGCTTTACTACATTTGGTGGAAGATTTTCGTTGGTTGCCTACAACAGTAACAAATTCACAAAAAATAAAAAAATAAAAACTGTAAGAAATTCCTTCACCTACATTTACCAGTGTTGAAGGATTTAAATATTAAAGATACACCATATCAAACAACTGAAGCTTTTAGAGTAGATGTGCATCAACATGTTATGAAGTCATGTGTTCGAACCTCACCATCACCCTAATTATTACAATTGAAACACGTGTTGGACCAAAAAGAATGCCATAAGTGAGGAGGCGTGTTGAAGGATTTAAATATTAAAGTTACACCCTCTCTGACATCTTAAGCTTTTAGAGTGGATGGTGGTCAACAAATAGCAATTTCATAAACAGCAAAGCTCTAAATATATATCCATCCTGACCCACAGGGAATTGTGTACTACAAACAGCAAAAATTTGGCAAAAATTTCATGCTTACAACTTTAAACCATACATTTGTCTACATCAAACGAAAAAAAAAAAAATCAAATCAACCTCCAAGCATTTGTACTAACCAATCAAAGATTCAACAATTTTAAAATATATCGGGTTACTATTGGTGCAGAGTATTGGGCTTTAAAAAATATATAGATATCGTGAAAATGAGGATGCTAAGATTGATGATGGGAGTGACTTGAAGATAAGGGTTACTAACCAAAATAAGAGGGAGAAATTAGGAGTGATGCCGATTAGTGATTAAATAACAGAAAGTAGACCCAGGAGGTATGGATATATACAAATTAAGATCTATAAAAGGGAAGAAGAGGAATACTAATTTGCATAGAAGGTAGGAAACAGATAGGGGAACCGAAATTAACATAGAATGAAATTATTAGAAATGGATTTTAAGAGGTTAAATATTGTAGGAGAGATGGCCTGTAATAGATAAGAATAGAAAAAGAGAATTCATGTGGCTTGCCTACCCCAATTATTCATATGAGATTAAGACAAAGATGATAATGATGATCATAAGTTCCACGGTTCAACAAATTTCCATGGTTGAAGTTTTCATTTTGCACATGTACATAACATCACAATTTTGATCAATTTAAAAACCTATATAATAATTAAAGAAACTGTTCTCTTGGAAATACTCTGTTTATATATATATATATATATATATATATATATATATAAACAGAGTATTTCCAAGAGAACAGTTTCTTTAATTATTACAGAAATATGTGGATCCTCACAACTTAAGAAAGAACACGATGTTCTAGAAACAGAGAAACTTGCCATAGCCACAAAAATGAAGATGGAAACTCTACAGAACTACAATGACTTTGCTGATAAGAAATCACAAATGCAAATGATGTGCCAAGGCTGTCTTCAGTTGTGCTGTCTGGTGCCTAGAGAGATGAAGATGATTGAGCTACTGAGAGAAAATCCTGCAAAAACAATAAATTTGATTTTCAGATCAAGACCAAATTAAGAGCACTGGCACAATTTACATTCAGACTTTTTCTCCACACAAAGTAATAACCGATAGAAGTATATCACCAGCATCCAAAATAAAGAACAAAAATTTTGATAGTTAAAAAGTTGTAACCCTTTGATGTTGTTCGTAGCCGTGCCAAAAAAAGGTGGGAATAATACAATTGTGTGCAGCTATAGCTACCAGAGGCATGAATACAGGCACTGCAGGCAAGTCTAGATCGAACCCTAGAAGGGTAGACAAAATAGAAACCCATGTATGTGAGCAGGTCCCACCCTACTTCACCAAATGTAAACAATCAACACTGACTACAGGCAGCCCATCGAAGTTACATAGCGCCCTGTCCTACCCCACCCTTCCTTGCACACTGAACCATTCCTCAAATTCTCTTAGTATGTACATTAAGGATATAAAACAAAGAATATTATATATAAGAAAGGCTAAAATCTAAATAAGTTTACTGTACAATGAGGAATCTTTTTAACTTTCCTAGGTAAGCCCATATCCATCTCCTAGTTAAAAGATTAATAAATCATTCATCATCATCATCCTTGCCTTACTCCCATATGAATGGGTTGGCCACATGAATTCTCTTTTTCCATTCTATTCTATTACAACAATCTCTCCTCTAATATATAACTTTTTAAAATCATTTCTAATGATTTCCTATTTCATCCTATGTTAATTACAGGTGCCTCTCCGCCTCCTACCCTGTATGCAAATAAACCTTACTCTTCTCACCAGTGCATCTAGAGGTCTTCTATGTATGTGTCCATACCACCTAAGTCTACTCTCTCAAATCTTATCACTCTAACAAGTGCCACACCTAATTTTTCTCATATTTTGGTTTGTAACCCTATCTCTTCTAGTAACTCCTATCATCTATCTTAACATCCTCATTTCTGCTACATGAATGCGTAGTTCTTGCTTCTTTTTAAAGCCCAACACTACGCCATATAAAATAGTTGGCATAATAACTATTCTATAAAAAATTCTTTTAGTTTATGTGGGGCATTCATTTATCACATAAAACGGAACTGTCTCACCATCTTTTTATATTATTGGCCCTAAATACCAAAAGTGTACACTTTGGATTATTTTTTGGTTTTGAAATGTAATCATTACCTCATTAATATCCAACTCTTGACTAAATTTGCATTCCATGTATTCAGTTTTAGTTCTACTAACCCTTAAACCTTAAACCTTTTGGTTCTAACGCGTTTCTCCACCTTTCTAATTTAATTGCCAAGTTTTCTAGATCAGTAAATCCTAGATGATTAAAATTGTACATTCAGCTTCCACTATTAAAAAGCAATCATGTTCCCAATGCATAATTCACAATATCCTTCCATAGAAAAAAGCTTGATTATGCTCAAAACAAGGTGCCATCTAATCACCTCACATTCTCTTGGGAGTCAGCAGTACATGATAGAAAGCTCACATTTGTGGTATGCCCATAAAACATTGAGTTTGTTGCTTACACTTGTCGTAAAAGGTACAGCAATACACATATCGCAATTACAAAATCACTAAATCCTTCAAGCTTGTAATTAGATAATTATACTTCAGTATCAGAAATCCATGTAAATAGCTATTTCAAAATTCATACGATCCTTGTAAAGAGAAAGCTCCATAAAGGACAAAATGAGCCATCATGTAATCCCCTCCTTTTCTCCTGTAGATAGAGGTCATTGAGAAGTTTTTTTCTAGAGAGAGAGATTTTGAAGGGTGGGAGAGGCTTTGAGAGCTTAGAGAGGCATTATGTGGGTGTCGGATGTGTGTAAATGCAAGCATTGTAAAAATGATTTTTCAGAATATATATTTTACTTGAAAATGTCATGGAAATACAAAAAACTTATAGGAAAAAAGGGGCTTAACGTGACAGAAGGCTATGGCCAAAATTTGTCATGGATAGGAACATTTGATGTGTGTATATTATCTTGGATGGATTAGATGCTCTTGGAAAAGGATATCCTACATACAAGGGTATTCCTAAAATAAACAAAAAGCCTAATCACACGAAAACCACTCATAGCGCAGTGGTACTAGATTTATTTGGCATCAAAAAGTCCTGAATGGACCATAAGATGACTACTAAACATCCCAAATATGCACATGCATGTCAAACTGTCAGGAAATACAGCTACCATTACTTCCTCATCCTGATTCCAATCATATGCTGTTATAACTTGGCTTCCACATGTACAAAGGAAGCAAACAGTATGACATTGGCAACTTAACTTAAAAGTCCAGATGCATAGAGCTCTGGACATGGACAAAGGAAGCAAACAGTATAACATTGGCAATTTAACTTAGGAGTCCAGATGCGTAGCTATGGATCTGACTGTTTGAAACCCAAATCCTCATTTTCTGGTGGGCAGAACACAGAACTTCATGGATATGAACAAGAAGTTATCTGTCTACCATGGGCTCGCACCTAGGACCACTTTCATACTAAATATCAAGTAAATCTAAGATAGGCCTAGTAGGCTGGTAGTCCTAAAAAAATACATCAATAATCTGTAACCAACATTTTAACAGCTTTACCTATCCACTCATCTTTGAATATAGTGACAAGTCCCTATATATACGTATAGGTACACTAGCTGACACACGAGCAAACAAATCAAGGACATGCAACAGTACCAGTGGAAAAGAAAGTAAAGAAGCCTCAACCCAAGGGGAGAGGGGCGGCAAGAAAGGGGAAGCTAAGAAGTACAGAACTTCTACAAAGGTGTCGTGTTCGTGTCAAACACGTGTTAGGCACTAACACTTCATGAACAATCTTGGACACGTTTGACATGTCCATAATTTAAGAGCAAATTTTATTACTTCAAACACTTCTCGGAAACTTGGCCGACACATCCAGACACTTCCAAACACAGGTTTTATATGGCACAAAGACATCTAAAAGTAGTCATATCCAAAAATTCTAGAAAAAATATGAACATACCTCATAATATCCACTTTTTTTTCTTTAAGAAAAATTGGTATTATTCACATGGTCACAACAAGTCGAGGTGTAAAAACACTTTTCGTATGGGACAAAAATATAATTGGAACGACAAAGTAGGAGTAGTAGTAGTATATATAATAGAATAATCTTTATGATATTCGCACAGTTTCATCTTCTAAATATGTAACTCTTACTATAGAAATATTGGAGAGAATGTTTTGGTGCCAGTTGGGGAGGTTCCTAAGATCACTTTGTTTGCTGGCATTCTTGGTTGTCGTACTGGCTCTTTTCCTATCTCTTATTTAGGGCTCCCCCTGGGAGCTCCTTCGATGTGTGTGGGGCTTTGGGATCCAGTTGTGGATAGGTTTAAGAGGAGGCTGGCGGGTTGGAAGAAGGGGGGTGGGTCACTCTGATTAAGAGTACCCTTTCTTGCCTTCCTACTTATTTCATCTCGCTTTTCCAGATTCCCTTCTCTGTCGCTGAGAGAATTGAGCATTTGCAGCGTAACTTTATGTGGGGGAGAAGAAGAGAGGAGTTTAAGTATCACCTGGTTCGATGGGAGCAAATGTGCAGGTCGATTCGAAATGGTGGGTTGGGTCTTGGAAGATTAGTGCCTTTCAATAAAACTCTCCTTGGGAAATGGTTGTGGAGGTTTGGGGTGGAGAGGCATTGGCTTTGGCGGAGGGTCATTGCGAGTAGATATGGGGAAGGCAGAGGAGGGTGGTGCTCTCTTGAGGTGCGTTGTCCGAGGGGTGTAGGGGTCTGGAAGTGTATTAGGAAGGGGTGGGCATCAGTTTTTGGGAGGATGTTTGGTGTGGGGATATTTCTCTTACTCTCGCTTTCCCACGGCTTTTCAAGATTGCTACGAATAGGCAGGCCAGGGTGGTTGACTGTTATCATCTTAATAGCGGGAGATTGGTTTGGGATGTTCGATTCAAGCGTCTTTTTCAGGATTGGGAGGTTGAGAATGCCACTCGTTTGTTGTAGACGTTTTATCGGCAGGGTGTCATGGCTGGAGACTCTGATTGTTGGATTTAGAATCCAAATTCGCAGGGTCGCTTTGATGTTCGTTCCTTCTTCAGGTGTCTTACAATGGAGCCTAGAGGGTCCTTCCCGTGGAGATCTGTTTGGCGCTCTAAGGCTCCTCTCAAGGTGGCCTTCTTTGCTTAGACCTCTATTTTGGGTAAGATTTTGACCCAAGACAATTTGAGAATGAGAAATCAGGTGGTGGTCAATCGGTGCTACATGTGTCTTCGGGATGAGGAGACAGTGGATCATCTTCTTTTGCATTGCACCATGGCCAAGGATTATTGGTACTTGATGCTTAGTTTGTTTGGGTCATGCCTCGTTCTTCTAAAGGGATGGTTTAGGCTTGGGGAGGATGCTCTGTGGGGGGCCATATTCGTGATGCTTGGAGGGCTACGTCTCTTTGTGCGTGGTGGTGCATCTGGCTGGAGAGGAACAGAAGATATTTTGAGGGCAAAGAAAGGCCTATTTCTTTTCTTAGGTTCTTTATTATTTCCACTCTTTTTTGTTGGGTTACGGGTAGAGATTATAGATCTTTAGAAGATATTGTTGTTTTCTTGGCCTCTTTGAAGGCTTAGAGGAGGCCCTTTTTGGCCTTGTGTTGTTCTCTTGGGATGCATTCCCCTTTTGAGCACTTTCAATGCATTTCTTACTTATCAAAAATATATATATATATATATATATATATATAGAAATAAAAAATTAGTTAGTCATATAATTGACTTACCCAATAGGTGTATAAAAATAAAAGTTTTTATTTACATACAGTCATGCACGTCTCCTACCTTTTTAGGATTTAACATATTGGCATCTAAATGTCGTGTCGTGTACGTAAATAACTTTCATTGTTAGCTTCCTTGGTATAAATCTAATTGTTTTATGGACACTACTATTTCATAACTTAGTCATTGTCCAATCATTCTCTCCCAAAGTTTCATAAATATGTACAAAATTGAGTATCTCCAAATTAC